TTTTTCTGGTTCTCGAGTTGAAAATGAGTGAAAAAATTGCTAACACACAGATATATATATATATATATATATATATATATATATATATAGACAGCCTCTTGCCAATGTGTATCTCTGCTTACTATAGTAGCGCTATAGCCTTACACAGCAAAAATGCGTAAAAACCCTATCAAAATTCCACTGTTTCTGAAAAACAGCGAATGCTCGTCCTCATCCCAAACGACAGAATGACAGAGCAGTCGAACTGGCAGTGGCAAAGGAAAGAAAATGAGGGAAAGAAAGATTTGACTTCATTATCCCTTTAGTTAAAAGAACTCGCTTTCAGTTTCCATACTGATAAATTAAACATACCGCTGTCTAAAAGATTTGAATTATCCAGCACAGCTTGAATATTCGAATGCACTTTGTCCATTTCTTCTGACAAGCCTACTTGCTCCCACATTTTCCCTGAACTGTCGTTATTGCTCGGTATTCCGCGATATTTCGACGAACTGCGCGTGTTAACACGCATTTTGCTGCATTTCAAAAAGTTTAAGCAAGTTTCAAAAAAAAACTTCACGAAATGGAATACAGAAATCAGTGAAGTCATGCCTAGGAACAAAAAAAAAGAGTCCGCCGAAAAAAATTTATGTGCGTCTAAGGAAGTTGCTTGCGAATTTCCTCAGTTTTGAAGAATAATATAACGCCGTGGTGTTACTTGCTAATAAGCGGAAACGAATCGAAGATTACCGCTCGAGAACTATTTCTTCTGCAGTTATTGCCATCGGTGAGCTGTTATTCGATCATCTAGTCATTGGAAACTCAGAAGGCTCTAGTTTACTTCGGCTGACATGTTTGAAGGCAAAAATCAACGGCTGCTTCACTAATGAACGGTTTCTGTACTTGAATTACGAACGATTGCATTTGTCGTCATTCTCACTTCTTTTAATGGCGAAAGGTAAACGCGGCTTTGAATTTGACATAATTTGGCATTCTAACAAATAGTCTTACATGGAAACGATTTTAACAGTCTTTGATTGGGTACACTGACATTTCAACAAAAAAAATTCTGGGTATAATAGAGAGGTTTGAAGTAAAACAGATAGATCGCGGTTTATCTTAGAAAATTGAAAGCTGATCTTACGACTAAAAGTTAAGCTTTCTACTTTGAAAGGTAGCATCTTACTGGTTACCAAAAATATTTCTCTTGCCAGCTTTTCTTCTTGGGAAGATCTTCAGCAT